GGGGGGGCTAGAAAATGAGATGAAATTTTATGTTGAGCAGAATCAAAGTGTGCATAAAAGTCCTACACAACAAAACAATAAAATCTACTCAAACTTCAGATTTAGCTCCCCCCCAAGAGAGAATAGTTTAACCCTTACACTTTTCATTCGCTTAACGATCAAACCAATGTTTTAATCACATGACTTTAAAGCAGATAATCAGAAAAAAATCTCTTAAGACAGCAAAATCATTAGTTGAACAGCTGATTTTAATCATGTGACTTTGAATGACCAATCAGAAAAGATATACTCACCCAACTGCCAAAGCAATATTAGGGGCAGCCGTGGGTACATTCAATACGTAATGGTACGTTTTCTTTCTCATATCAGGTGTAAATACCGTCTCAATGAGATCTCCTGATGACACCGCAGTCATTGTGGCATCTACCGTGAATTCCAGTTTCCATGTACATGGTTCCGAGTAGGAATCCACACAGGGGAACCAAAGTCTGGCCGAGTTCTCATAACCGTAGGTAAACATATGCGCTGATTTCTGAAATGATATTTAAAAGTAACAATTATTCCAATATTTCTAGTATTGTACCTTAAGTCTTACGATTACATTGCTACAACACATCATCAAGGTTTAAGTAAGTGATCTGAGGACACCCAAATTTAAGGCCAACATAAATTATTAAATTATTACAAAGTTGATCACATATTTTGTAGATGATTGTATGAACTGCAATATCGCAATGCACACTAATACAAAGAAGCAACTATCAAATGAAAAGATAGCTAGCATATTGTCAGTTAACACCCAAACTGACGACAAATATTTGTATTTATTCTTACATCAAATACATATTTTACACATTGCAAGTTGATAGAGTATATGTAAAATTATTTGTACAATGTAGATACAGCCACCGATGAGTTAATGTCATTGTACCATGAGAACAATTGCTATCCAGTCTGAAGTTCTCATGTTGTTATTTGTGTACTGTTCAAACTTACCGGTATATAAAATGATGTCATGTAAAATAAATAATGTGACGTCTAAAATTAAATGACAAACTATAGTCGATCAACAAAAATTGATCATGCAAAAAACTGAAAGCTATCTGTGGTAAATTTGAATTATATTCAATGCAAATTGCTAACTGTTTCATGTTACTTATTTAGCCTGATAAATTTTAAACAATTGTGTAAATATTCTTTTCATTTTAGTATTTGTCTCTTGTAGAATTGACTAAATATGTGGTTTACATGATAGTGCATCGTCTCACCTCAGTCATTGTTCCTTCGATCTCTGGTACAACAAACTGGATTCCCCCTTGCGGTTTTTCCAGTGAGTATTCTATGCTCACTCTTAGTGGTTTTAACTCTAAAAATAAAATACATACATTTAGCAAAATTTAACAGATCCACAAGTAATTTATAGATTATTAGATATACAAAGCACTGCAATTGCATGTATAGCAATTTATAAACTGTAGTGGCTGGTTCGCAGCAGTCCAGGGCGCCACTCACGCCAACTTATCAGGCTAGGTCAGACAGATGCACAGAATACAATAGAACATTAGTTCCTGGCCCTTATTAGGGCTAACATCAAAACAATAACATTTACCAATGTACATGTTTTACGGATATTTGTTTAAATTAGTCAATATACACAACTAATACTGATTACGGAATGAATATTATCATAAACATATACTACCGTACCTTGAACAATATGCATGGCTTCTTGCGGTATTCTGATAGTCAGCTCACCATTGCCGCTATCAGCATCTACGGAGCTGACAGCACTGGCATGGCAAGACGAGAAGAAATTCAAATTACGCCTAACGAGAGAAAAAAAAAGGAATCTTATATACAATACTAGTTTTTGCCACAAACAAGTATATACGGTTAATTTTTTTATATAATCAGAAAATAAGTCTACAGGTCTTGATTAAAATTTATGGGGTTATGCAGGTGTATATTGTGAATGGAAATAATAACAACATTCAGGGTGCAAAAAATTATCCCTTTCAACTTTTATTAGCACTACCAATATTGAATCCATGAAATTTTTCAACAAAAAAAATATCAATTTAGACCAAATTCTAAAAAAAATCATAGAAATTTGCAAAATGTTGCACCAAATTGCAGCAAGAAAAAAATACTGCATTCAAATTGTGTCACAGTGTGTTAAATTAATTAAAAAATACAGAAATGTTTTAAATTAAATTTATAACATATAATACACTACTATAAAATCTGTATTAAAAGCCGTAGCTTCTATTAAAATGGTACAATGCAACAGAGGGGATGCAGCTTCTATTGGAGCATCTACACATATGAGAAACAGTGAATTTTTGGTTCTCAATTGTTCAAAAAGAATGGGTGTGATTCTATTAGGATGCGGCTTCTAATACAGATTTTACGGTACAACTGCGTAAAAGATTCCTGAATGACATAATGATGAAATAATCACTGTAGGTAGTACTTACTGCTTGGCATCACTTTGGCAAATTGCCAATGTAGGATCATTATACAAGAATGACGCCTCCCATACATCATTGATACATACTCGATAAATCCTTACACTAATAAGTCAAGGTTAATGACAAGTTTTTGAAACAAAAATACACAATGTTAATATGTTTTCTATCATTTCCTCCCATCGAATTTTGTAAGCAAACAAAATTGTTCACACACAAATAATGAGTTACCAAATGTGACAAAAGCAATGTTGTATATCATCCTTCCCTTGTTAACAGATCTAAAGTATATGTAATTGTGCCACAACATGGTTTTACAGCATGCACTCAAAGGAAACAATGTTCTTACAAGCACTGTAGAACACGTTGAAATAGCTGCATGCAATTTTAGCAGATTTGACTCTTGGCATGAATTAACAGAATCTTAATTTAGCTAAAGTGTTGATTATCTCCCTGTGAGAATGTAATTTCTGTTAAATTAGCTACATCTTGAATTAGCAAAATTACAGATTAGCTAAATTAGCTAAAATAACACGCAAGCTAAAAAGACATGTTTTACAGTATGTTGAGTTGGACACATTAAACACAATTGTCAGGGTATACTTAGTACACTTGTACATGTATGCAAAAAATTAAACCACAGTGGATCTATGTATGTAGGTTAAATGTACAGTAAAACAAGCAGCCTCTCGGCTGAGATAGCTCCGCTGTTAGCAATGCACATTTCAATTAAAGAACAGAAGATATCATTAGAAAATGAACAATATGCATAGTATCAATGCAATGGGACTTGCTGTTTTCAACAAGAATTCAAAAATATCATTTTTCACCATAAATGATTGAGGTTTTTAACAAGAAGAAAATATCACTTTTTACCAAAAATGACAAAAATATTCACCAAAATTAGAGAATTAAAGATATCATTACAAAATGAATAAATCTGAGAGAGGTCCACATGTAGTACCTATATATGTAATATCAAAGCAATTGGACTTGCGGTTTTTAACAAGAAGTCGAAAATATCACTTTTTACCAAAAATGACAAAAATATTCACCAAAATTAGAGAATTGAAGATATCATTACAAAATGAACATGTCTGAGAGAGGTCCACATGTAGTACCTATATATGTAATATCAAAGCAATTGCACTTGCGGTTTTTAACAAGAAGTTGAAAATATAACTTTTTACCAAAAATTACAAATATATTCATTAAAATTATAGAACTAAAGATATCATTACAAAATGAACAAATCTGAGAGAGATCCACATGTAGTACCTATATATGTAATATCAAAGCAATTGGGACTTGCGATTTTTAACAAGAAGTCGAAAATGTCACTTTTTACCAAAAATGACAAAAATATTCACCAAAATTTGAGAATTGAAGATATGATCATGAAATGAACATCTGAGAGAG